ATCATAAGGATACACATTTAACTAAAATCTCCTACATCAAATGTGTATTAATTAAATCAATCAGCGTCAATATTTTATCGATGCCTGCATTGAAGAATCAGTCATGGGCCAATGATCTTCTTATTCTACCAATTGCCTTTTCTTTTTTCTGTTTCTCCCATCAATCTCACTTTCTTGAATCCTGATCCTCCCTATGCACATGTTTCTTTTTTATTTTATAAATACCATGCGTTAAAGACTAAATATACAAATGTAAATTACTGATAGAGTTATCAACAAACAAACATGTATTATCAATCAAAGTTTTGTTGGGAATTTATTATCCATCAATGAATTTATTAATGTTTCAAATTACTAATAAAATAATGAAGCTAAATAAATAAAACCCACCATTAAAATCCAATACCATATTTTCATATATTTTGGTGCAAGTTATTATTATTTTTTATTAGTGTGGGTGTCCAGATTAATTTATATGTATCTCGATTAATTTCACGGATTTTAAAGTTAACAATCATATAAATTTTTAGTAATTCTGAGATTTATTACACTCAAATCAATAATTTTTAAAAATAAACTTTAGATTTAACAAGTTAAATTACATTTTTATAATTAAGTTAAAATTATTAGCTTAGTAACAGCTTCTTACATATTTTTTATATCCCAATGACGCCATGCAAAAAAAATTGTTAATTGATGCTTATTACTGAGTAATTGCTGATATGATATATACATATGATGGATGTTTGCAAGCAACTCACTGGAGGTCTTAGGGCAAAATATACACCTATAATGGAGACAGGCCAAACGCGTAACAGGAACCACTAGTGCTACGACCTATAGGAGATGAATTTATTTCTGGGAAAAAGTAGATGATGACTCAATAAATTAACAACACTCTGTTGTAAAAATCTTCAAAATAAATTTATTTATCGTGCTATTATCTCCTATGAAAATAAAATCGCGACCATATTTATTTGTATACAATTAATTTATATATATATATAATCTTAGCAAAGTTGATATATACACGAGGGTGCATGTCGAAAGTCGGCCACATAAATTAAAGAGGTGAAAAGGACTGACCATTTCAAAATGGAAAAGAGACCCCGACATGGCTTTTGCCCGACGAACAGCCTTAGTATCCTCTCCGGAAAACAATCATAATTATTTCTGGCTAAGAAGAAAAGGATCTGATCAGATTTTGTTGATGAACGTAACATCTCGATCATGATATCAATATTCATCATTCAAAACAGTGGAGGGGCCACTCATCTTTCCAAGAAAGTTAGGTAACATTGCTCCTTAACATTATTTCTTCCTTTCCAAGAAAGTTAGGTAACATTGCTCCCTAACATTATTTCTCTCTTCTTCTTCTTGTTTTTTTTTTTTAAAAAAAAAATTGAGATTCAGTTTTTTTTTTTTTTTTTTAAATTGAGATTCGTGAAGGCGTTTCACAGTTTTGTTTTTTAATTGTAATTCAGAGTGGTGATTTAAAAGAGAGAAACTCAATAATTTATTATTAATGCATGATGGAGAAGCAAGTGATGGTTTAATTAGAAAAACAAAAAATTGTGCCCTAAATTAAAAAAGGTTCGAATGGTACATTAATTTTTTTTTAATTATTCATGAAAAGGTTCATTATATTTAGATTATTCCCTACCTGAATTATTATTCCCGTGCTCTAGAATTACTATAACTAAGCCCGGGAATATTAATTTAGGTAGAGAATAATATAAATATAATGAACCTTTTCATGAATAATTAAAAAAAAAATTAATGTACCATGAATATAGAATTTAGGTGTGTATATATAATATCAACCATAAGAAATTATAGAGTTAATATTTATTACATTAGTACTCCTATATATATATATAAGAAGTAAAAGAAGCGAGAATTAATAAGAATAGACATCACTACCAAAATATTTATAGAATTATGCAACAAAAACAAGAGTAATCCACAAGACAACTTTCTGGGTTTTTGTACCATGAACTTTTTTTTTTTCAAATTAATCAGTAAATTAATGGAGAATGCATCATAAATATGCTGGAAAAGGCATTTACACGCCTAGATCACTACAAGTAATTAAACAAGCATGCTCCATGCATCGATTTTTTATTTTTATTTTGTTTATGTGTAGATCTAAAATCTACTTTGATTGGGGGTGTTGATCGTTAGTCAGTTAGGTTTAAGGATTTTATGTATTAAAAATTGCATAATTACTAACACATAATTGTATTAGTCAATCTAGTTTTAACCGGTACTTGCTTTGTTTGTAAATATAATAAATATTACTTTTCAAAATATTTTACAGGAAAATATATTAAATAATATGTATTTTTTTATTTTTAAAATTTATTTTTAATATCAATATATTACAACAATCCAAAAATATATAAAAAACTAATTTGAAACTAAATTTTTTTAATTTTTTTTAAAAACAAGGTTAAATTACAATTCCAAATATCATTAAACAAGATTAAATCACAATGCCAAATATGATTAGACAACTCATAAATGATTTACGGAGTATAAGATTTGAATTTTAAAGCTCAAATATCAAATGCCCTTTGCGTGCACACAATCTCCTTTTAATTTCTTGTACTGGTAGCTATTTGCGAGATTTGTGATGGACGATTGGAGGCTGAATGTAATCTTTATCTCAAGTATTTGGAAAATTAAATAAAATTAGCATATTAACTACCGGTTAGGCAATCAAGAAGTTAGTACGCTGAATGTAATCTTTATCTCAAGTATTTGAAAAATTAAATAAAATTAGCATATTAACCACCGATTAGGCAATCAAGAAGTTAATACTGCTCGTAAATTACGGCTTGGTTTAGTAGTGGATGGGGTTTGTTTCCTTCCACTGCACCTAGGTTCGAGCCCTAGCATGCATGCCTGTTACCCCTGCGGTGCCTTACATGTCTACTGGGTTTGCAAGGTATTTAGTGGGCCGTGAGGATTAATCGTGGTGCGCGCAAGCTGGTCCAAACACCCCATGTAAATAAATAAATAAAAAGTTAGTAATGCTCTTAATTAGCAGTTAGCTAAGCATATATATTTTTATAATCCTAATCGGTTAGGCGTTCAAGAAGTAGTGTCATTAATTAACAATTAAGTAGCAGTCCGGTGCCTTACATGTCTACTGGGTTTGCAAGGTATTTAGTGGGCCGTGAGGATTAATCGTGGTGCGCGCAAGCTGGTCCAAACACCCCATGTAAATAAATAAATAAAAAGTTAGTAATGCTCTTAATTAGCAGTTAGCTAAGCATATATATTTTTATAATCCTAATCGGTTAGGCGTTCAAGAAGTAGTGTCATTAATTAACAATTAAGTATAAGAGTCTTATTATCGTCATAAATTAAATTGACTCATGTGAAAACCTTTTAAGAAGGTAAAGTAACATTTTAGTTAGTAAATTTTCAATACTATATCAAATAATAATTATCTCAACCAAAATATTACACTATTAAATGAATTCTTAAAATATAAAATTTATTATTCTCATACAAGTATGCTTTCCATTTTATAATTCAACATTGTAATATGTATATATATATATATATATATATATATATATATATATATATTAATGCACAAATTCGGGTGTAGATAATTTATTTAAGACTTGACAAGGTAATATTTTAATCTCCATCAGTGGAAGCCATTCCGAATAGTAGCTGGAACTTTTCATTACATGATTTTGCCACAATAGGTCAGGGGGTGTTTCTCGTAGAAGATATTTTTTAAAAACATTTGTTATTTAAAAATATATTAAAACGATTTTTTAAGATTTTTTTTATTTTTCACATTAATATATATACAAATTATATATCAGAAAATACTAAAAAAAATTGAATTTAATAATTTTTCAAGTTTAAATTAAATACTTTTAAAAAACATCTAAATACAAAAATAAAAATCGTGTCAAACAACACCCTCTATAAAATTTATAACGTGGTATTTGAGGTTTTTAACCTCAATCACAATATAAAATTTGTTCGAACAAGAGAGGATTGTGGGAGATTGGGTTGGCGAGAGTAGACTTTAATGATTTCTGCTTTCGTGTTAAAATTCTTTTTGGGCATTAATAGGAAAAAAAAAAACAATCTTGCTTAATTAGCAAGCAAAACCTTATGATCTGTTAATATCATTAGTTTCTGGATTCATTTCCAGCCGTGTGTGGAAGGTCGTCCTCCAAGTCTTTGCACGCTTGATATATAGGCAAATTAAGCACTATCTTTCCTTGGTGGGACTTGAAGAATTTATTTTTGATGATACCTCACATGTGGATATTTCATCTTTATATATCAAATCAGGATATCATAGGGTGGTGTCTCTTTTGAATAGAAAGAGAGCACAAAAAAATAAAAAATAAATAAATAACCTTCACACATGAACTTAGAAAGCCTATGTTTAATATTTTTTACGTCAATGATATAGCTTTATAGAAAAGGTATTAATTAATGGGATTCTTAATTGCATATATTCGAAGGACTCTGATGCATTACGAGGAAATTAGTGGAATACTAATCAATTCTATTCAACATCAACTTATTATATTATTAATGCAATAAAAAAATTATTTTATGGTTGCTTCACGGTACCATTTTAAGAGAGTTTGAGACAAAGAAGAGGTAGAATTGCATTAAAAGTGATTTCAATATTTCTAGTTCGGCTAGCGAATCATTTTCTTTTCTTTTATTTTTTATTTTTTATTTTTCTCTTTACTCATTATATCTATAACAATTATTGGTAGTGATTCATGAAGAGATAAAAATCTCTCAATTTTTGTAAATTTTCAATCATAAACAATGCTTCGGCAAGTAAGCTAATAAGTCACTAGCAATAATCAAATAATAAAGAGTTAATTAAAAAAAAGAAAATATTTACAGTTCTAATTTTACCAATTCATTAAAGATCTCAAATTGACAGATTCTTCTCATGATTTGGATTTTAAAAATGACGATAACAAAAATAAATAAATAAACAGTGTTCCCTCAATAATTTAGGAATGAGAAGGGTTCCTCGACTTTCTCTTCTATAAATTGCCTCCATATCATCCCAATCTTTTCCTCCCTATCCTTTCTCATTTGCTTTCCCCCCATATACCTCCCCCTTTTCTGTACTGTCTTTGCTTTTGTGTCTTAGCCTTTTTCTTAGCTACTTTCTCTGTGAAAGGATTAAAAAATGGCAAACAATGAAGCAAAGTTCTCCGAAAACCAACCTTCGAAAACTCAAAAACTTTTCATTGGAGGGCAAATTTTCCTCAGAATTGTAGCAATTGTAGCCTCAGTAGCCTCATCATGGCTTATGATCACCAGCAAGCAAGTCATTGATATTGGAGGAATTGTACTCGACGCAAGATATAGCTACTCTCCAGAATTCAAGTAAGATAAACTGAAAACACATAAACAAGCTGCTATAAACTTGTAAGTTCACTGAAAAGAATCCTTTGTTTTGTCAGGTTTCTTGCCTTCACAAATATTGTTGTTGGTTGCTTCTCTCTACTGTCCTTACTATTTCTTGTCCTTGTTGTTCGTCAAGGCTCCCATCCAAACCACTATTTCTTTTTGTTCCTTCATGATTTGGTATACTTGGTTTTTCTACCTCTATTTTGTAACATCTTCTACGATCTAGTCCTCAAAATATTCGTTAATTTTTTATGCATTCTTTGTGGAATTTTGATGGTAATTAACAGGGAATGATGTCTTTGGTCGTTGGTGGATGTGCTGCTGCCACTACAGTAGGTTTCCTGGGGAAGCATGGGAACAGCCACACTGGATGGATGCAAATCTGTGATAACTTTGGCAAATTCTGTAATAGAGCAACAACTTCTGTGACAATCTCGTACTTGAACTTGATTTGCTTGTTGATCCTTACCATCACATCTGCAAGCAAATCAAGGAAAATGGAAGCTTAGAAATTGAATGCATGCCGTTGATGAGTTGGCAGAAACAAATTGTGTGCAAGGCAACTTATGTAATAGAGAAACAATTTCTTTCACTTGGTGCTGTTCGTGATTGGTTTGCTTGCCGATGCTTACAATCATATCTGCAAGAAATTAAATCTAGGCAAATGCAGTTGAGTTGTCATAAATAAAGTGTGAATAAATCTGCTGCAAAATTTCTAATTAATGAATGCTTTATTCCATTAAAAGGCAACCTCTCTCTCCCCTTTTCTTCCCTTTGCCTCTTTTTCTTGCTTACAAAGGGGAGAGGATTGAATGCAGTTGCTTGTACTCCTATTTTTCTCTTCTTTATTTCCACAATATCCAATAAATTAATAAAGCATAAATTAATGGGTTTTTTTTTTCTATTTGATTTCAAATTGTATATTTTTTTCTTTCTTTCACTAGTTTGATTCCATGCACTAGGAGCTTTCCTTGGTAGGTAAATTCTCATTTCTCATATACCTAGAGATGTTATATAATCGGGATTCTAGTGAACTTTGCTTTACAACAAATTTCAGAAATGGATCATTACTAATTAGAGATTTTATATTTTGATGCTGTTGTTTTCACGGTATAATTTGTTAATCTCACTTCATATTCTATTTCTATTATTTAGATAAACCAAGATATTCATATATATATTTAGAGTTTTCACTGCATATAATGATATTAAATGTTGATATTTTTATATCGTGAAAATATAGTTAGAAGTAAAAAGTCTTCTACTTGTAATTAGAGTATCAGATTTCACCCTTTCAATTAATTTTTAATTTTAATAATTATAAATGGATATTTCCTATTTTAATCATAAAAACGCAATATATATCTCAATAAAATCCAATTATGTCAAAATAAGATATTCCATAGTTATATTAAAAATAAGGTGTAAGTTAGTCTCTTAATAAAAATTATAATGAATGTGGAGTAGGATTAACAATTTATAAAGTGCATGGAAATACCACCATCTTTTATCTTTACTGAATCAATTTATAAAGTGCATGGAAATACCACCAAAATCTTTACTGAACCAAAATGTAATAAAGGTTGTTTTACTCCTGGAACTAATATTAGCATGCATGTAATTAAAAGGATGATTGTTTTTGCTGCTAAAATTATGTATTATAATTTCTTGAAAATTTATTCTGATTTGAAATTAATTTATTTTTAATATTGTTTTATTATTTTGATATGCTGATATTAAAAATAATTTTTAAAAATTAAAAAAAAAATTATATATTTTTAAATAAAAAACTCTTTAAAAATTTAATTTTTAAAAATTAAAAAAAAAATTATATATTTTTACATAAAAAACTCTTTAAAAATTTAAAAAAATTTCCCAGAAGAAACATATATATAGAAAGCAGGATGCCAATAATGTAATATTAACTTGTTATCGAGAAATTAATAGTATTAACAGGATTCTACTTTGAGAGGGATTCAATTAATTGCATGCATAGAACTCCGAGGAAATTATTGGAGCTCGAGCCAATTCCATACAACATCAAACCCTAATATACTATCCGAGAAAATTAAATCTTTTGGCCGTAAAAACAAAAACCCTAATATACTAGAATAACAACTTTTGTAGCTTTGTCTTATTTGCCATTACTTTGCTTTTTATTTATGATGCTGAGAATCCCATCTGCAAGCAATTCTAGGCAAATTGAATTCTGGAAATTGAGAAAATACAGTTGAGTTGTCAGAAGTGAGGTATGAACAGAAAGGATTACAATGAGTAAGTGTGTTTCTATTTATTCTTTCTAATGAATGCTTTATTCTAATAAAAGACAATCTCTTCCTACTCTTCTCTATCCTCTTTTTCAGAAAGAATTTAAAAGTTATAAATAACTACTAGATATCTACAAGAGATAATAATAAAAAAAAAATCATATATGTCTTCAAAAAATCATAAGATTCTTATTACAAAAATATTTTTTTCTCTTATTTATCTTTTTTTTATCTATTTTCATCACATGAAGGGAATAATTAAATGTAGTAGCTATAATGTTTTTCTTCCTTTTTGTTTCCAACTGTTAAAAATAATCCCAATATAGAAATTGTATTTATTTATTTATATAGCCACAATCATGTTTAATTAACTTTTACAATCCCAACCGTTAATTAACCGTTGCAAAATGTTTAACGACCAAACAAAACTTGAAAATCTTGAAAATGTATTGCAACAGCTTTCAAAAATGGATTCTTTTTTTATAAACCACTAGTGATATTTTATCTTTGCTAAACCCGCAAGTAATAGGCAAAGAGGGAACTCCGGTGATCGGTGGCGGCCATACCATTCCCAAAATTAGTAGCATTTTGCATTTTATTTGGTTCTTAAATTTTATCAAAGTTTCATTTATGCTTTTTAATCTCTTACACATGTGGTTATAAAATCTAATTCAGCCATGATTAACAAGTCAAAATGATAGCTTGCTAACCTAAATTAGCTTTGCCTAGATTTTGAGTCCAGCTAGGTCTTTTCACCAAATCAACATTATTTTAGTGATTTAAAAAATATAAAATGCCATCATTTTAATATTTTATTACAAAAACTCAATACCCGAGCTAACTCGTCAGCTCATGAATTAACCCGCACAACTTGAAACACGGGTGTTGAACCGGCCGAAAGTCAAGTTAATGAGGCCTTATAATAATGATTTTACATTAAAAAAATCTATTATTTTCTTATTTACCCTTCCAACCCTAAAGTTTTGGTTCAGCCATTATATAAGGGTGATTTTGCTATTGGAACTATCACCATTTAATTTAACTTGTTTGTGTGCCTTAAATGCATATTTGATATTGAATTTTTATATATTTAAATGTGTTTTAAAAATACATTTATTTTTTAAAAAAATATTAAACTGATGTTTTTCAATATTTATTGATAATTTTAATGTGTTGCTCTAAAAATTATAAAAAATATAAAAAAATTATTTTAATATATTTATCAACAAAAAATACTTTTAAACAACACCATACTCCATAATATCAATCAGTCAGTAAGCCAAGAAACACAAAAGGAACATCTTCGCATGAAACTTTGAAAGCCAGGATCAATTTACGCCAATGGTATGGCCTTAATTTACTTAAAAAGAAATGGTGTCAACATGATTCTATATTGGGAGGGATTCAATTAATTGCAATCAAAGAACTGGCGAAATTAATTATTGGAGCATTAGTCAATTCTATTCAACGTCAGACTTAATATATCATTAACGCAAAAAAATAAAATAAAAATTGAAGTATTATTAAACGAATTCCCATCAATGTGCAGTGGTCCAGGGATATATGGCTGCTCATATATCATTTAATTAATCCAAAAGACCCCATTCATGGTACAAATTAGTTCCCTTCAAAATTCAGATTCTAGTTATTTCATTATTTGGGTTATTTAAGCTGAACAAGGTAGATTAGGAATCATCTTGGATCTTTTTTAGTCAATTTCTTGTTCTCAATTTAATCATTTTTCAGTTGTAATTAAGCATTTCATGTCGATAAAGCATTTCAATTTTGCCCTTATCAATTTAAGCTCTCTTACAATTTGGTAACATAGCTAGGCGAGCCATGGCGGATGAGACTAGAATGCCACAATTATTAGAAACCATTGTCAGCATGAAGTAAAAGCAAGATCAGCAACAACACAACCAGCAGACACAACAACGAGTTTTGGAAGAACTCGAACAACTTCAGGAAAGAGACTGATAAATTCCCCTCTGAATACGCCCATAACTTCAGTCAATGGCCACCACAAGACTGAAGCCGAGCCACCGACGGATAACCAAATCCAGTCAAGGCCCACGAACTGGATTTTCCGAAGGGTAGGTCTACAAGGCCAACCACTTCTTTAACTACCACGACACTGATCCCCAACATCGTTTATTGACGGCAAGTTTCCAAATGGAGGGGAGGGTTATTGCATGATTCCGAGAGATGGAAGAGAAAAGGGCTACAACAACCAATAGGAGTACAAATTGCTGATGGTGCAAGGATTTTAATTGGGCCAAAAACCTCTGTTACTTTGTCTTACTTTTCAGTGGTTTGTTTGCTGATCCTTGCTATCACTTCTGCAGGCTTGGAAATAAAAAGGGTTACAATTAGTAAATGTGCTTTTATTGTCTCTTTCTCTCCATTTTTTCTCTTTCCCTTTTTTCCTGCGTACAAGGGGGAGAATCAAATGCAGTATCTGATAGTATTTTTCTTCTATGGTGGTCAGATTACTCCTGTCATGACGGGTATTGAGTTTCCGAATACTAATAATTAACCACTGACCAATCGTTCAGGTAAATGTAAGGAGGTAAAAAACGGACTGGGGCTAACTAGCATCTAGCAATGTTCGGATTGAACTCGAAAGTGGTGCGTGTTTATGACCTTAACCGAAGGCCAACTCCATGAGTTTGCTTTCTGATATGATTAAGCCTTAATAAACTTGATTAGCAAATAATGTTGGGACTTGGGAAATCTGCTCACAGCCTGATCACATGCACGTGTGGGACTCGGGCACATAAAAGTGAGACCCTCCTGGATGTTGAGCAGCAGTTCTCAGATGTTGCTGTCAATATGAAGTATGGGGATTGTTGTTGTTCGGAGAGAAAGGGTTAGAAAATGTTGGAGAGGCAGATCTGCAACTAGTAGATGAAAGTTTTATCGAGGCAAGCAACAACTAAACCAAGATAACCCTGATCTCTTCTCCAGTATACTTGATATTTGATAGGAAAATTATTGTAGAATAGGAATTCATATTTGTCAAGCTGACTCGACCGACAGAAGAGAAGGTAGTATTAGATTATTAGATTTCACCGGTTACATGTTTTTATTAAAAAATCATTTTAAAAAAAAACAATTATTAGTATTGACACAATTAAATTTGGATCACAGGTTAATCAAATTACTGAAAACTTGATGGGTTAATTAGATTTCAACAAGTTAATACCTTATTTAGTTCACCTAAAAATCTAGCTTAGTCTCATATTTCTGCAGCAAGCTGAGCTGAACAACTATGTGGAAATCTTCAAGCCACTCTTGTTACATATGAATGAAAAGTCGGGTGCTGAAAAACATGTAAGGGGTCGTTTGTTGATTTGTTTAAAAAGAAAAATTTGCTTGAAATTATTTTTTATTATTTTTGAATCTGATATGATATCAAAAATAACTTTTAAAAATTAAAAAATATTAATTTTATACATATCCAAATAAAACAACTACTA